CCTGAAGAACAGGGGCCACTTTTTTATAAAGTAAATTTTGTTGATATATTTTGTATCAATGGCATTACTTATGTTTCACATTGTATCCCTCTCTTTTCCTGGCCCAGAGAGCAATCCCTTAGAAGAATAAAGAGAGAAACGTTTCAGCAAAACTAACCAAACCATTTTTAAAAATCTAACACGATACAGAGTGTATTGGGAATTTAGGTGGCACAGTGGATAGAGTGCCATGCCACAAGTCAGGAAGATCTGAGTTTGTATCTAGCCTCAGACATCCTTTACTAGCTGTGTGACCCTAGGCAAGTCACTTAACCCAGTTTGCCTCAGTTTCCTCTTCTGTAAAATGAACTGGAGAAGGAAATGGCAAATCACTCCAGAATCTTTGCCAGGAAAACAACAAATGGGGTCATGAAGAGTCAGACAAGACTGAAATGACTGAACAATAACAATACAGTGTTCCAACCTCTCCACAGAGAAAAGAAGGGAGATAACTTTTTCATATTTCTTCTTTGGGACCAAACTTAATCATTATAATATTACAGCATTCAATTTTAAGTGTTTTGTTATTGTTTTTATTCAGATTGTAGTGATTATATGTATTTTTTCCCTAGCATATCGATGTATGGGCAGCTAAATGATGTATTGGATAGATCACAGGACTTAGAGTCAGGAAGACCTGAATTTGAATCTGCCTCAGGCACTAGCTGGGGGACCCTAGGAAGGTCATTTAAAATTTCTGTGTCTCACTTTGCTCATTTATAAAATGGGCATAATAATACCTATTAAGGTTGTTGTGAAGTGTTTTGCAAACCTTAAAATGCTATATAAATGCTAGCTACTAATATTTTATTTCATCCATGTGTATGTATATCAGTTGTTTAGCCAATCGCCAAACAATGGGCATCTACCTTGTTTCTAGTTCTTTTTTGGGTGTCAGGTGAAACCTCAGACTTGTTTTGATTTGCATTTCTCTTATATTAGTGATTTTTCATATGGTTGATAACAGTTTATAATCCTTCTTTTACAAACTGTTTGCTCATGCCCTTTGACCATTTATCTATTGGGGAATGGCTCTCGGTCTCATCTGTTTCCCTTAGTTGCCTATATATCTTGGCTATCATATATCCATCTGGCATATGGATTTTGATATCCTTACATGGTATTTGATACCAGGTTGTTGACCAGTCAACTACTTCCCTTTTCCTCACTGCATTATTTGGTTCGTATAAAAGCTTTTCAATTTCACGTAATCGAATTTATCCTATGAACCTTGGAGTCCCACTGATTTAGTTTCAACCTCACTAGGTAGAAAAGTGCTACATTATTTGTCTTGCTCCTGGAGTAGCCTTGAGGGATAACCTTAATCTCCTCAAAGGTATAACCAGACTTCTCCATGGCTGCTTGCTTGCAAAGAGGAAGCAGCTGAAGAGTCCTTGCTTCTCAAATATGGTCGTAGTTATTACTAATATGGAGGAGAGCCCAGCAGCTGTACTTACGACAGGCTAAGCTTCACGGGCTCTCTCAGTCAGGGAGAAGTGGGTGGCTAGCAACTAAAATAAGTGGGAATGGCAACACTACTTTATTATGTCAGGGGCAAACAACCCCTTAACAGTTCTGTCTTCTTTTGGCCAGAAGGATTCATTTATGGGCTATAATCTTACAAGTTTGCTTAAGGTGAGGCTGTTGGACACTATACCAGGGGAGGGATGGCTAAATACATAAAGAATCTGTGAGTTCTTCAGTATGGGAACACCACCAGTATAAACTGCAGTCATCTATGACCAAATGGCTGTCTTAGAGAATTGCCTGACACTTGGAGACTTCAAGTGATTTTCCCAAGGTCATACAACCAATGTCAGAAGCTGGATCAAAACGCACGTCTTTCTGACCACAAGACCAGCACTCTGGTCCCTTTCCATTCTGACTCCCTTGTGAAGATATTTTTTTAAAAAAACCCTGAAAATTCTCAGAACTAAACATTTTTAAAATTTACTCCCTGAAACATCCTTCAGCATTGTTTGCTTGTGATTCAGCCTGGTTGCTTGATTTCCAGAAAAGAAAACCAAAGACCAGGACTCATGAGTTCACTTGATTTCAATTTCCCTTCAGGCAGACAGTCCCAGGAGGCCATCTGCCATGAGGTGAAAGAGCCTATGGCACAGAGCTCTGCATCCTTCAACAGATAGAAACTCAGCTCAGCTCTCCAATCCTACAGTCACTGCTCTGATAGCCCCATCTAAATCAGGCAAAGCTAGTACTGAGGTCTTCTGCTGTTTGTAGCTGGAACCCAACCTTATAACTACCACTGCACCCCTGGATTCTTCTGAGTTTTTTGATGGGCTCATCTTTTCACAGAGGTCTCCGCACATAGCTTTTTATCCCCCCAAATCAGGTCAGCTCTGTGGAATACCCTGTGGTGCTGAGCTGATGGGAAGCACTGAATGGCTTTTCTTTGTTGTTAGGTCATGTCCAATTCTTTGTGACTCCATTTGGGGTTTTCTTGGCAAAGATACTGGAGTGCTTTGCTCATTTTAGGGATTAGGAAACAGAGGCAAACAAGTTTAACTGACTCTTCCAGGGTCACACAGCTAGGGTCTGAGGCTAGATTTAAACTCAAGTCTTCCTGACTCCAGGCCTAGCACTGTATCCACTGCTATGCCAAGCTGCTCTTGGCTTTTCTTAGGGCTCAGTAATTTTTGGCATTTACACAGGGGGAGGATTCCTCCAGAAGATTCACAGGAAGGTCCAGCTCAGAGAAAATGAAAAGCAAAGGGGAGCCATATTTAACTCACTTTTGGCCTGCTACCTGAGTCCTCAGAGCCTCCTTCATATCCCCTTGCTTGAATGCTTCTTGTGGGGGGAATCCACTACCACCCATTCCTCTTCTAAATAGCTCTCATTGTTAGGAAGTTTTTCCTAAATTTTCCTTAGCAAATTCTGCCTATTACTCCTGATTTTTCTTTTGGGGCTAAAGAGAAAAGGCCTCTTCTGCATGACAGATCTTCAAATATCTAAAGGCAGCCATTATGTCTCCAATAAGTACTTGCTTCTCTAGGCTAAACATCTCCAGTACCTTAAGTCAATCTCTATACAGTATAGATTTAAGGCCTTCCACCACTCTGGTTGACAATTTCAGGATGAAATTCAGCTTATCAATGTCCTTCCTAAATGTTGATGTCCAGGTCTGAGTGCAGTTTGACCAAGGAAGAATTCAGTGAGATTATTACTTCCTTCTTCTTCTCTTAAAGTCATTTAAGAACACATTATTTTGTTTTTGGTATTTTGGTTTGGGTTTTTTTTTTTAGTTGTCATATAACACCATTAATTCTTACTGGGCTTACAATTCACCAAAACTCCCATATCTTCTTTCAGACATAGTACTGTCTAACCATGTCGGTCTCATCTTGTCCTTACAAGATTTTTTTAAATCCCAAGAGTAAGACTTTACATTTAACCCTAATAGGTTTCATCTTATTAGATTCAATCCAGTATTCTAGTCTGTCAAGATCTCTTTGGATTTTGACTGTCATTCTCTGTGGTTTAGCTATTCTATGCTTCCCAGCTTTGCATAATCTGCAGATTTGATGTCATCATTCTTTTGTCCAGGACATTCATAAAAACACAGCACAGAATTAAGCATACATCCCTTGATTCCTTCCCTGGGGACTTCCTACTAAGTTGACATTGAACCATGAATAACTAGTCTTTAATTCCAGCCATTCAATCAGATCTGAACCTAACTGTACTTAATATCAGCTAAATTAATACCTCTCCATTTTTTCCCACAAGAATAAAGAATAACATTTAGTTAAAATATACATAAATCCATGATGTACTGGTTTAGCTACCCTGTAAAAGAAGGAAATAAGCTTAGTCTAGCATGAGCTGTTCTTGATGAAGCCATGTTCACTCTTTCTGGTCATTGCTTCCTTCTCTTAATGTTCATTAACCACTTCTCTAAACACCAGTTTTCAAATTTTTCCAGGAAGTTAATTTGCAGATACTATTCTATTTCCCTTTTTCTGAAAATTGTGACAATGTTTATCTTTCTTTGGTCCTGCATTATGTCTCCCATTCTTTAAAATCTCCGAAGAGTCACTGACTCTTCAATCACAGTCATCAGCTCTTTAAGCACCTGAGAATGGGGTCACTTGGGCCACATACTAAAACATCCTCCTTATTTCAACCATCTGACAATCCATTATCCATTATTCAACCATTATCTGACAATCAGGGTTTAGCTCAAATACTACCTTCTCCACAAAGCCTTCTTCTTTCCTTCCAGGTAGAATCAAACTCTCCTTCATTTGATCTCACATCACTTTGTATTCCTCTTACACATGTAACCTATTTTAAATTTCTGTCATAGTTATATATGCACATGTCTTATCATTCCTACACTTTCTTGGAGAAAAGGAATTGTTTACTATTTTTCTTCATATCTCCTCCAGCACCTGGAACGGTATCTTGTACATTAATAAATGTCTGTTGAAGGAATGAATGAATTGCCTCCATACTTCTGCTTTTGTGGCCCATATCTATCTATAGAATGCTTTTCTTCCTCCCTACCACTGCCTACTCAACCCTAACCTTTCTTCAGGCTCAAGATCCACTTCCCCTACAAAGGCTCCTTTAACGATTGCCATCCAAACTGATAACTCTCTCTTCCAAGTCTCTATAGTAGGTATGCCCAGTACCACACAGCTCTGCATTCAAACTATTCTTTCATTGTTTCATGAGTATCAATCTTGTCTCCCCAACTACATGTCTTACTTAATCCACTGCGTCTACTGTCGCATTGAACTTTTAGTAGGTTCTTAATTAATATCCATTAATTGATTAATTGAATGATCTGTTCCCATCCCAAGACTTATTGTATGGCCCACAGACTCTGGCCCACCTCTTCCGGTCAGTGTTTTTGACACAAACAGTGAGGCCCAAGGACTGGAGTTAGTCATCTGGGTAAGGCAGGTGGATTGCTTTAATTCAATTTAACAATGTACCATCTGAAGAACGTACTCAGTCTTCCCTCCCCAAGGGCTGCCTATAACTCATCTCAGATCACATAGGAAGAAGATAGAAAGATCTTTACCAAGAGCCACAGAAGAGCTGACTTTTGGTGAAGTGAGAAAGGAAAGCACGATTAACTTGGTAAACCTACAGAATTATTGAGCTTCTGCCCCACAAGGTAGAAAAGCCCTTCATTGTTTGCTCTGGTCCTGGAGTAGCTTTGGGGAATGACGTCAAACTCTTGAATTGTGTAACCGGCCTTCACCACTGCATCCTGCACAGCCTCCTGGGTGAGGGAGAGACTAGAAAACCTCTGGTCACCAATCATGTAGTAGCTACTCTTGAGGGCATCAATAAGCACCAGGCATCCTCCAGGTTTCAGTAGGCTGCTGAGGTTCTTCAGGGCCTGCTGGTAGGTAGGGAGGTCTTTGCAGGCAGCATCCAGACACAATGCTGTGAGCAGACAATCAGCCTGGGGCAGAGAAACAGGGCCCAAAGGCTGGCTTTGGGTCACGTCACACTTCAGGACATGCTTGATCTTCTGTCTCAGTCTCTCCTCCTTTTCAGCCCACTTCTCCCTGAAACAAACAAAATGACCAATATGCTAATGAGAAGCGTCAGGTCTTGCTGCCTTGATCACATAGGTGCTGTCTCTCTTTGCTTCAGCCCCTGTTGACAAGACCATCCAAAATCCTAATTGTGTAGGAGTTATCTTCTTTGTGAAGGAAGGGGAAAATGATATGAGAACAGATCCAGGAGTCCAGAATAATAGCTAATAATCATAGCTTACATTTATAGAGAACTTACAATGTTCCAGGCACTCTGGTGTATAGGTGTTATTTTGACCCCCTTTTTACAAACGAGGAAACTAAGGTAAAGGAAGGTTAAATGATTTGCCTAGGGTCACACAGCTAATAAGTGTCTGAGACTAGATTTGAACTCAGGTCTTCTCGACTCCAAACCAGATGCCTCAATATACTTAGGAATATACTTTGAATACAAAGAAGAGTGGTATCTACATTAGCTGTTAAAGCATTCTATGGGAAGGAGATCCGAATGAGTTGTAGGGCAGTATCTATACTAGCTTAAAGTATTTGGAAGGAATACATTGGAATTGGTGGTGACTACACTAGGTTCATTAAAGTGTTTTATGGGAAATGGATTTAATCAGTTGCAAGGTAGTAGCATCTACCTCGAATTTCTCCCAGCTTACAAAATAATATGGCTTTACAAAATTGAAGTGCTATCTTTTTTTGGGGGGGGGGCTACGCAATAGGGTTAGGTGACTTGCCCAGGGTCACACAGCTAGTAAGTGTTATATGTCTGAGGCCGGATTTGAATTCAGGTCCTCCTGAATCCAGGGCTGGTGCCCTATCCACTGCGCCACCTAGCTGCCCCAGTGCTATCTTCTATTGAAAATATTTTTACTATGGATATATTTAAATTTGCTTGGATTTTAAAAATGCATATTAAAGCTTTTTAAATTATGTACTTACCATTCGCATAATTTAACTTTTAAAAGTTTATATAAATGTCATGTAAGACAAAACAAGCTTTGATGTGAAATAATGCAATTTGGTGCTTTTGTACAGATGCAGGCCAGGAAATGAATGTATCAATAAAAGCTATATCTCTGAATATTTTTCTTTCTATGTTCCTAGCCTCTCCCTTTTCTCTTTCCTCCCTGAGAATACAAACTGCTTCCATATAGGGAGGTATTTGTATACAAAAGACTTAGCACAGTGCCTGACACAAAGCTGGCAAAACAAATGCTTGGTGTTTTGTTAATTGATTGATTTCCCTTAGTCAACATTCCTCTTCCCCAGCCCTGCTAGAAGAAACTTACATTGGAATGTAAATAAATAAATAAATGAGATGAGCATATTCTCCTCCATACTCTTGACAGGCAGCTAGGGTAGTTCCTGCCCTTTTCACTTGTCATCTGTTATGAAGATAGCTCTCCAATATAATATAACATAATAATCCAATGAAGGCTGATTCACCTGTGTTAGCATGAGCAATAAGGACACTGCCTATGCTGTTGCTGGGACATTCAGCATCAGTCACATTCTAGCTGTACATTCAGGTGGCTAGCAATGGCATCTAGCCCCAGAGGGCAAGTGCTAACATGGGAAAAGATGTTCTGAGTTTGGGCTGGAATTCTTTCATAGAACTGGCCTGGGTCCTTCTATCTCCTGTCCCCTTCTCCCTCCCACACTAAACAGTTTTCCCCAGCTCTGCACTCATGCATATTCCATACATACCCTGAAGGGGTTTCAGATCTCTTTCTCTCTGGCCATGTCCCTGTCTCTCTACATTAATCTGTCTTCCTTTCTTCTTTTCCTCTTTCTACTTGTCTCTCTGTATGACTCCTTTTCTAGGCCTCTGGTTCTCTACCCTCTGCCTTTTCCTGAATTTCTCTATATATCTATGGGTAGATCTGATTTCTCTCTTTCTCTCTGTCTCTCTGTCTCTGTGTGTGTGTGTGTGTGTGTGTGTCTCTCTCTTTCTGTGTGTCTCTCTCTCTGTCACTCTCTGTTGTTCTCACTGTCCCTATCTATTTCTCTCTGACTTTTTTTCTTCCACTGCACTTGGACCCCGAAGGATAATTTTTGCTTCAGGGAGTTATGCTTACCGCCAAGTACCTCAGAGATCTGGTAAGTAGTCAGAGAAAAACCTACCTGTCCCCTTCCAGTTCACATACATATTTTACCACAGGAGACCAGTCAAATGCTTCCAGTTCCTTCTTTAGCCACCTGTTGAGCTCCTTGAGGTTCTGGTCAGTGTAGTCAGTGGCCACAATCTCGTTAAAGGCCTCACAGGCAGAGAGGAGCTGGTAGATGGTGGGGCCAGTGCCAATGTCGATCAGGAGGTCTCCTTTCACCCTGCCTGTCCCAGAAAAAAAGGCAAAAATGGGTGGTCAGGGATGAGATTCCCTAAGGACTGAAGGCCACTTATCACATAAATTTCTGAATCAGAGGCCAACTTGTGATCTTCAGTGCTATAGCAATAGAGAGATATAAGCTTATCCTGCCTATGATTCATTTTAAAATGGAACCCAATTCAATAAAGGATAAACTGTGTAAATAAAAAGACTAAATCATGTAAATGTTATATGATTATATTATTATTATTAGATTTAATCACAGTGAAGGTCATCATCTAGGCCTCAAGTGCTTCATTTCACTTAAAGTCAAAGCAAAATAAATCACTTGGGTCCCAAATGGTGACCTTCACTGAGATTATAGCTAATTATATCTAATCACTGTATATTATATCATAATGATATGAATATAAGCATTTAAACAAGTCATAGATCCTTTTCACTAGTATCTCATTTGATCCTTACAACCTTCTGATGAGGTTCTCAACGTGGTTATACCCATTCTCCTTTTATAGACCTGAAAACCAAGGCTCAGAGAAGAGGTAGCATGGTAGAGTAAAGAGCATGTTGGATTTGGAGTCAATGGATCTGATTTCCGGTCTTGGTTCTGCTATTGATTATCCACAGAACCTTGGGTTAACTATTCAACCTGTCTGTTTCTCAGGGTCGTAATCTGTAAAACCAATGCTCTATAAGGTCCCTTCCAAATCTAAGTCCTCTGGCTTTCTCAGGGTTACCTGGCTAAGAGATAGCAGAACTAAGATTTGATTAGATCTGGCCAGGTCACATCCTGGTCAGCCTAACAAGCTGAAGCCTTTGTTCTGGTTTTGAAAGTCTAGGTCCCAGAATTCCTTCCTTCTTTTTTTTTTTAATTACATTTTTATTTGTTTCATTAAATATTTCCCAATTACATTTTAAAAATTTTAACATTCATTTTTCAATATTTTGAGTTCCATTCTCTTCCTTCTCCTCAACCCTACCCCACCCTTTGAGCAGGCAAGCTCCAAACTAATTTCCAAATTAGCCATGCTGCAAAAGAACACACACAAAAGGAAGAGAAATAAATAAAGTTTAAAAAGTATGCTTCAGTCTACACTCAGAGTTCATCAATTCTCTCTCTGGAGGTAGATAGCATTTTTCATCATGGGTCCTTTGGAATTGTCTTAGGTCATTGTCTTGATCACCAGAATTCCTTTATATAAGTACCAATACCAATCTGCTGCTATAACACTGCCTCTCCATGGCTAACACGTCAGGGACTAGCATGGCAGAACGGTTCTGCCACAGATTCTCTACAACCCTATAGCACATTTGAAACTACTTTCTAAATTACTTTGGCACATTGCATGTAGAAATCCCCAACAACTCATTTCATCCTGTTTCCTGTAACACAATTAGTACAGGTATACTCTGCTCTTGAGTGTGTCCACATTTCATCTTTTCTCCCCTTCACAATATGGGCTACTCTGAAGTATTTAGAATTTGAGAACAGAGATATGTGCAGTACTGAGGAATGGTGGCTGAAAGGCTTTTAAATTAGGCCTGATGAATGGAAATCTGCTCTTTGCATGTAGTCCCCCTTCTCAACTCTGCTCTCCATCCTGACTCAGTTTCCTTGGCTTTCTCAGCTCTGCTTCTCTAGTCTGCTCTTTTTTAAAAGCCCAGTTTCCAGATCCACACTAGCCATGCCTCACTCAGTCATGATGAATAACGTATTAAAAGTCTCAGGGTGCTTGTTTACACCACTTTGAGAAAACATGATCAGATCTCTCCCCTCTTCAGTTTATACTCCCCATGGCTGCCACAGTGATTTTCTTAAGGCAAAAGTATGACCTTGTCATTCTCCTACTCAAAAAGTTCCAATGCCTCCTTACTGCCTCTAAGGTCAAATATAACCTTCTTTATTTGGCTTTGAAAGCCCATCACAATTTGGCTCCATCCTATCCCTCTAGACTCGGTACATATCACCCTCATTCACAAACTCACCAGTCCAGTCAAAGTGGCTTACCCAGTATCTTCATGTAGGACATTCCATCCCCTTTCTGTCCTTTCTACATACCTTTACACAGGCTGTGCCCTAACCTGCAATTAGATTTTTCCTCATCTCTGCCTTTCAGCATTCCTACCTTCCTTCAAAATTCAGCCAACAGACAATCTCCTACATAAAGCTTTTCATGACCCCTCAAGTCGTTAGTGCCCCCTTTAGCTATCTTATATTTGCTTTGCAAGAGCTGGGGGAATTAGATGAACACCAAACGTGGATGAGCAGCCCTGAAAAGGGCTCAGTAAGCCCTCGCACCAGAGATTCTGGTCCTCCTGAACACCCTCCCTGCCCCCCACCCACACCCGGTGGCTCTACGAAGCTGTAGCATGCACTGCAGCTGCAGCTTGGTAAACCATCGTAGCAGACAGGCTGCACCATGCTGAGCGTAACTGACAGGCCTCAAAGGGGATGTCTACCTCAAGCATATGAAGACTTCCCTAGGTGGAATGGGCAGATGAGAACAATTTGCTCAAACAGCCATGAAAGAAGCTAAGCAGGCACCGTGGAGTGCTTAAATCTGGACCAGACATCAAAGATGCCAAGGTCCTCCACCACTACCCAAGCTATTGCCAGTCATCCTGACTTTTGTCCTGCCACTGGACTTCGATGACTCCGGAAGAGATAATGAGGCTCATGACTTTCCAATTCTGCCTCACTTAAATCCACTTCACAAACAAGTCAAGACATCACCTGTGATGTCATTGGTCCTCTGAAATCAAAGGACAAATAACATTTACTTTGCATAGGTTTTAAAATTTGCTAATATATATACGTGTTCCATCCCACTCCAATGAAATGTAAGCTCCTTGAGAGTAGGGACTATTTCCTTTCTGTTTTCCTCTTCCTAGTGCCTAGCAAGGAGTCTAGCATATATTGGGTACTTAGTTAACAGTTGTTCATTCATGCACTTATTTTAAATCCCAAATCTGATGTCAATGGTGATGTGCATCCTCTTGAGGAAGATATAAAGTCAAAGCAAAAGCTTCATCCTTTCACCTTGCTAGAATGACTAGGCTACTTTTGGTCATATTCTCTACTCTGTGTCATAGAATTTGGAGCTGGAGGGAGCATTAATGATCACTGAGGCCTGAGGGCCAGACCCACCTGCTGCCTGTTTTTGTACGGCCAAGAACCTACAAATGGTGGACAATACAAAAACTTGGTTCCCTAACCCTTCACTAGGGAATTGAAGCCCAGAGAGAATGAATGATTTTCTTCAAAGTCACACATAGTTAGACGATCAGCAGAGTCAGATCCTCTACTCCAGAGCCAGCATTCTTCCCATTACACCATGAGATATGGAGAAAGGTTAATTTTTAAAGTGACACGACTTCTTTCTTCCATCCTACTTCCCACTTAACCAACTTTTTTCCACCTTCCATCTTTAGAGCAAACATATTGAGGGCAGGTTTTAAGGTCCTTAGGGGGGTAAAATGCACACACATGTGCACATACGCACATTTGGTGCACAGACCTTGAATCCACTCAGAATAGAAAAGAAAATCTGGAACAACTGACATGGAATTATGATAGGAGAGAGATAAATCAAAATGTAGCCTCTAAACATTGTATAAGGTTTCCACAGACTATAGATTCAGGGGACATTTATCTAATGAATAATCATAAGGTCTTTGGTGTTAGGCACCAGTTTTAAAATATTCATCCCACAGGAGATCCAGAGAGGTTAGGAAGCTTTCTCTAAATCACAGAGTAAATGAGGACTAGAGTGTGCTGAGAACTAGAAATTAAGAGTTTCTCTAGTCACATTCACATTGACTAAAGCATGAGGTTTGTCTAATGGATGCTATCATTCAATGATTTATGCAGTCTATGCAGCTCAAATCCTCTCTGAAACACAGGGCTCTTTAAGGAATTTACAAAATTCTCTGTTTTTCCATGCATATCCCTCTTCTATGAGTGAACTCCTTTATTCCCTTCTCCAAAATTATTATGTGACACAATCTCTCTATCTCTCTCCTCTCTTTGTCTCTCATTCTCTATCTCTATCATTGTCTCCCTTCTTCCCCCTTATGTCTCTCTTTCTCTCCCTCTGTGTCTCTGCTACCTCTATGCCTCTGTCTCTCCCTTCCTCCTAATTCTTCATCCTTCCCATTTCCCATTCTATAACAGGTGGTTCTGAACTTAATTATAAAATCAGAATTTCACAGTTGGAAGGGAGCACAAAGGCCATCTAGTTGGACCCCTACCTCTCCAAGAATCCCTTTTAAAATATTTCCTAGAAGAGGTTATCCAATCTTTGCTTCATAAATTCTAGTGAGGAGAAACCCACTAAGTCCTGAAGCAGGCCATTTCATTTTTGGACAGTCTTAATTGTTAGAAAGTTTAGTGAAGCTGGTCATGTCAACCAGTAACTATTCTCTTGTCCCTATTACTATTTACTCTGGGGCGGGGGGAGGAGAGCAAGGGATGGGAGGGGAAGGGATAGGAGGGGAGGGCAGCGTGGACATTTACCAGATGAGAAGGTCATGAAAAGTCTTCTGAGGACATGCATCAGAATCTGATTCTCTGCAGAGGGGCTCGGTCCAAAGGTATAATACTTTTCCAGGTAAGTTTGAGGATTGAAGTGGCTCAGGTAGGCATCCTTTGCAGTGAAGTTGGATTCCACCATTGTGTCTCACCCTGGCACTGTAATTCTGCTGCTTCTCTTCTGGCTGGTCCAGGGACACCTGAAGCAAAGAGCTGCCCAACAGGGGTTACCCTGGCTTCTCTACTCTGTCAGACCTCAGATATAGGGAACTAGTTAAACACTAACTGGTGGAAAATGTATTAATTTTTTTCACTCTGACAATGAGTTATAAAAGTCCTGAAGTGCAGACTTGGAAGATAAGGAGGATGTAGGAGAGGAAGGGGAGGGAGGGAGGGAGAGAGCGAGAGAGCGAGAGAGAGCTCATATTTCAAAATATGCTGGCCAAGGGAATAACAGAATTCAGTCAGAGAAGGAGGAGTGTGTATGGAAAAAATGAGAATTTAGTGAAATCCTGAAAGAGTGGGGATTTCTGAGAAGACTTGGGCTACTTTCCCCACCACAATTCCTTCTCCTCTTCCTGTACTAACATTCCAGCAGAGAGAATGTGAGGATGTGGGAAAACTGGGATCAGAAATATGCGTAGTGTTGAGGATTGCTGGCTGAAGAAGTTCCAAAGGAGGCCTAAGAGGGGGTGAATTGGAAGGCACGGTTTCAGAGGTTTAGTGGAGGCTCCCTCCTAACTCTTAGCTTTCCATAACCTGGCCTCAGCCTACCTATCCAACTTGTCCTCCTGTTCTGCAACCTTTTTTAGTCCAGCATGCCCTCCCTGCTCCAAGCAACTAATTTAAATCCTACCAGTCTTTCAAGGTGCAATTCAAACTCCATCTCACCATAAAATCTTTCCAGAATTTTCTTCTAAACTAGTCAAAAGAGCACTGAATCTGGCATCAAAGGACCTGGGTTCATATTTCAGCTGTGTTACTGCTCAGTCTGCAAAACATAGTTGGAGGGAAGGGAATGGATTTGATGATCTAGTTTAGGGCCCCTCTAGCTCTTAATCCCCAATCTGGCTTTTGAAGTCTGAATCATACACTCTAGCACTGAGGGAGCCTGAAAGGAGCTCACAAGTTGGTTGGAGAGGTGAGATAAATTAAAAAAGAAAAACTCTAAGAGATGAAACAAAAAATATGTAAGTGATACATTTTAAAAATTGCACCTTGAGTTAACATAATGTCATAAATGTTACTGATTGAGGGGGCACATTTATCTCATGCGTATTCACAAAGTCTCTAGGACTTAAGAATAGATATTATTTGCCTCCTCGTTGAATAGGGGACCTAGAGAGGTCACAGCAGTTATCTGTTCCTCAGGTCATGCAGCAAATGGACTGAAGCCTAAAACTTAGAATTTTTATAGTCACATTCACATCAATGAAAAGAACAGAGATTGCCAAATATGTCTGTCAGTTGATCTATAGTGAAATGGAACTGATCACATCAACCAGTCATCCCTCTGGCTCTTTCACCAATTTTTCAGACATTTTCTGGGCACCATGGCTTAAACATTTTTTTTGTTTCCAACAGTGCCCAGAACAATGCTGAAAACATGTTACATGCCTGGTGACTACTATATTGATCTAAGTCAAGGGTCCCTAATTTGTTTTTTTTGTATCATAGACTGCTCCCCCACCCCCACCCCACACACACATGCTTTGGCAGTCTAGTGGAGCATATGGACCCCTTCTCCAAATGTTTTTTTTTTCTGGAAATATTTATAATGGAAAGAAATGCTAAATTTCAGTTAGAGGCTAGTGAAAATAAACATGAAATTTTTTCCCCCCTCATCCAAGTTCACAGACCACCTGAAATCTATTCATGGAGGTCTATGGATCCAGGTTAAGATTTGTTGTTTAGTCATTTTTTGGTCATATCCAACTCTTTGTGGCCCCATTTGGGGTTTTCTTCGCAAAGATACTGGAGTGTTTTGCCATTTCCTTTTCCGGATCATTTTACAGATAAGGAAATTGAGGTACACAGGGTTAAGTGACTTGCTCAGGGTCACCGAGCAAGCTAAGCGCCTGAGGCCAGATTTGAACTCAGGAATTCAGTCTTCCTGACTCTACGACTGGCACTCTATCAACTGCATCACCAAGCTATGCATGGTCTAAATATGACACAGTTTCCCCCTTAAACCTAATTTATGCAAAAAATCTTATTGGGGCCTCTTAAGACACTGAAACTGGCTTTTGCCTATGTTTTCCTCAAGTTTCTCACAGTAAGGAGTGAGAGCTAAGAATAGAAATGACAACTGGTCACTGCCTGCCTTTGTTATTATTCCTTTGCCTAAATTTGGGTCTTGCACGGTCAACAGTATATTTGCGACAGCTGCTACTGCCATGGGTCCTGGGGCTGATTTCCTGAGCCCCATCTACAACTCCAAACTACACATAACCCTTCTGTACCCCACATGCCTTGATGTTACAACTGTCCAGCTTTCATAGTAAATTTATTTTTCTATGGGAATTTTGTATATCCCCACAAAAGTCTTTCTTTGATACCTCATCAGGACATAGAAAGGACACTGGATTATTGAAGTCTAAGCCTGAGAGACAGTAGATAGAGGACTATGTTTGGAGTTAGGAAAACCTGTATTCAAATATTTCCACTGTTTGACCCTGTATAGTTCACTTAACCAGAAGGGACCAGGTTATAAAGAGACTTGATTCTAGAGGCAATAGAGAGCAGCTGGAGTTCATTGACACACCATGCTAGGCACTGGGGATAAAGAGACTAAAAAGGTCTTATATCCTACTGGAAAAAATAACATGTACATATAGAAGAATATGCAGAACACATACTAAATAATACAAATTAATTCTGGGACAGAAGACACTAAGAAGAAATGGAAATGAAATGATTTGGAAAAATCATGGCCCACCCCATGCCCACCCACCACAAAAAGGTGATTGAGAAACCATCCCTAACTACAGACCCAAATGCCTAAGTTCTCATCTTTATGAAATACCTGTGAGAATAATTTACATCCATATTGAGGGAATTCTTGATGAGAATATGAGAAGAAAAGAGACATACTTTCTTCAACAATATTCGACAGTGGACTGCGTCTTTACATCCACACCACTGACTTCAGAAAATACAAGATCCCACTGTAGTTGGTGATTATAAAAAATACCCTTGATCCCACAAAATGCACCTTCAACAAAGCATCGCCCATGAATATGTTAAAATAATAATGATGATAGCTAGATTTTACATTCTACAAAATGTAACTTGAACAAGGTGTCTCCAGATAACAATGGATGCTTTAAGATCTGCGCAGCACTTTAAATGTTGTCATTCAGTTGTTTCAGTCACATCTGACTCTTTGTGACCTCATTTGGGGTTTTCTTGGCAGAGACACTGGAGTGCTTTGCCATTTCCTTCTCCATCTCACTTTACAGATGAGGAAACTGAGGCAAACAGGATTAAGTGACTTGCCCAGGGTCACTCAGCTAGTAAGTATCTGAGGCCAGATTTGAACTCAGGAAGAGGAATCTTCCTGACTCCAGGCCCAGTGCTCTATCTACTGCACCAGCTAGCTGCCCCTTAGCTATCACTTTAAGTACAGTATCTTATTTAACCCTCAAAACAACTCTTTGATGTAGTTGCTACTATTAGTTGACTCACCTGGGTGACTTGGCTAGCAAGTGTTTAAGATAGGATTTGAACTCAGGTCTCCTTATTTGGAATATATTTGGAATAACCACTATACCACGTCCTCCACTTGGGTTAGCTTGAGATTGTTACAGCTGAAGAGTTACACAGTTTCTATTCCTATTCCTTACCTCAGCTCCATTCTTTGAATGGTTCATTCTAGAGGCTCTTGTCAGTAAGTCAGTCAATTAACATTGTTTAAAGTGCCATTTATGTGTCAGGCACTGTGTTAAGGGGCTAGGGATACAACGAAGGCAAAAGACAGTCCCTGCCCTCAAACCCACAATCTAATGGAGGAATGAGCACATAAAAAAAGAAGTTAGAAAGCAGTGGAAGTGTACCCAGGCACCAGGGCACGATGATAGAGCCTAGCAGAGCACACCCAGGTAAGCAGTAATGAGACTGGTGCTCTAGGTATGCTCCTTAAATGGACGTTCTGGGATGAACTATCCACCATCATCCCTGTCCTCTGGGGGGGGGAAGGGCCCCAAGGGGCAAGGATTACTGGGGAGGGGTAAGTTTCAGTTTCAGAGTTAATGGGATCTTTCAGGATGACGAGAGTCCAATGAAATTCAGAATAACCAAGTGGGAAGTGGTCTCCTGTCCATTGAGAAAGTGTGTGATAGTGAACAGAGCAATGGAAATGACATCAGAAGACCTAAGTTTAGATTTCATTTTTTGGATTTCACCATAAGTTACTGTATCTTTGCTAAATTACTCTTACAAGGTTCTTTGAAAGAACCATAGCAGAGATAGCTTTGTTTGATAACTCTCTAATTGATATTAAGTGAAACATAAAAAATAGTTGTTGAGTCATGTCCGACTGGATATTTATATTGATAATATTGGTAAAGTGCTTAGCATAGTGACTGGCACCTGTTGTTAGGTCATTTTGCAGTTACGTTTGACTCTTTGTGACCCTACTTGGGACTTTCTTGGCAAAGATCCTGGAGTGGTCTGCCATTTCCTTCTCCAGTTCATTTTACACATAAGGAAACTGAGGCAAACAAGGTTAAGTGACTTGCCCAGGGTCACACAGCTAGTAAATATCTGAGGCCAGATTTGGACTCACAAAGATGAGTCTTCCTGACTCCAAGACTGTTATGCTACCTACTGTGCCACCTAGGTTACCAAAGGTTATCAAAGATCACGTGTGCTTTAGTGCCCAAATGGAAGCAAGATTCCCCATCAATGGAGGATGTCTTTGCGCCAATTTTATCAAGTCATGGTACTTTGCAAGGTCTCCTAAAAGATGTCCAAAGTCATTCAGAAGAGTACAGCCTCTCCACAGTGGAAGAAGAAAATTAAATGAGGCATGCCTCTTTTCTAGACTATGTTATGTTATGTTATGGTATGGATGGGATGGGATGGGATGGGATGGGATGGGATGGGATGGGATGGGATGGGATAGAAGAGTGGAAATAATACTTCTTCTGGAGGCAGAGTACTTGGTTTGAATCTCACTTTTCTAAGCCTCAGTTTCCTCATCTGTAAAACAGGGAGCTAACTGTGTATGTGTGTAGAAGGGAACATACCTAGAATAGGAGTTGAAGTTGCTCACATTAGAGTAGAGATACCAACCTCTTAGATAACCTCTAAGGGTACTGCTAGCTTCAAGTATAT